TGGTCCGTTTGACCTTAATTAAGAATTACTCACTGAATACTTGCAAGGAGTCAAGTGTGATGTAATATAAGAGAGTTTTGAGTTATTGTTAACAAGATGACATGTGTTAATGATTAACGTAGAGTACCATCATGTTGTTGTCTATGAGAGACAATTGTTTGTGATTACCGTAGTACTTTGTTGCTGACTGCTGCGATCAGTCAATTAACGTAATTAATCACATAATCAGTTTGGTAATTGATTAAGGCAATTTCTTTTGTTTATCGTCTAGTGACGAAAGTAGAGTAACTTAGGGATTACTGGAGCTGTGTCCTAGGATCCCACCTTGCCTGACTCTGGTTACTGTTTACAGTGCAACTTCTTGTAGGGAGTTGCAAAGAGTGTTCACACTGGGTTGTGATAGGGGGAGTCACTGTTGGACTACCCGCCTAGTTACGGGGGTCACTCCTGTTGGGCGGGAGGACCCTTAAGCTTGTGATTAGAGTAGCTGTCAGGGAAGCCGTGACACTATTGATTGCATGCTTGTGTCTTCAGTGGGCATCATTGTCAGTTAGTTCACTTGTCAGCCCGAAGTGTCAGCAAGATGGAGCCTGCTGTCACTTCACGAGGGGCTGTTGAATAGCTGTGTTGCAAATGCCACTTGATGTACAATAACGTAACCATTCGCTGTGGTGTAACTTAGTCTGTGATATTTTTCTTTGATTTGCAATATTGCGTCATCAGTGGGCACACCTGTGTTCAGGTTAGTTCAGTATGCAGCCTCACAGCAAGGGTTGCTATTTAGCTGTTTGTTATCGTGCCACTGGATGGACATTAACGTAATGTAAACTCGGTAATGTAGTAGTTAGTCTCTTGTTATTAATAAATTGTTATGTTATAGAAAACAGTCTTTGATGTCAACCCTTCAACCATATTATTCCACCATATTTCTGCATATTATTAAATGTTGATGTGATCTTGATAAGGCGGCTGTTCTTGGGAATTCGAATTCCAATTCATAGCGCCACATCAAATATAAATATTTGATTGTGAGAACCCGTCGGTTACCCTTTATTAGTTTTAACGTCCTGTTTAACTAGGAGGAGCCAGCGGCCTATTGTGGACAGGTTTTCACCCTTGGTGGTGGAGGCCTGGCGGTTTGCTCCCGCTTTTCCTTTTTCTATTGGACTCATGCTTAACTGCCGTGAGCAGACTTTAAACTTGTAGTCCACCTCCTAAGGGAGGTAGGCGTAGAGAAAAATCTCACAGCAGGGAATCGAATACACACAACCTGCTGTATCAGGGGAGTTTTTTTATTAAATTGGATTTGATCGTACTATTAGTGAACACCAAATTTATATTCAGTGTCTTAAAAATCAGAGACAATTTTCAAGTCCACTCGCATAAGGTACCACCAATGAGTTAATAATTTCTGGTTTCGCCTTAGGGACGTGATTATAATACGTACAAGCCGAAACGTTCACCTCATTTCATATTTCTCTGTGGATTTTCCGCATAAAATGATCAGTGTTTTGTGATCGTCAATTGCATCAATGGATACCACGTGCCAGTTTCTCACCTTCTCCTCTCTCTACCCTTCCCTTAAACCTTTTGTTACTAAACTTCGTTCTGCTTTAGTGATATCTCATTTTTTAAAAATTCGTCTTCGTTTTCTTCGAAAATGCCTCAGTGAACAAGTGCTTCCCCGTTCATTATTACCCAACAGCGTTCTTAAATTGTCAGATCAGCCGTTTGATGAGATACCCCGCATAGTGCTTATGAAAAACATCGATTTACTTAAATTTGAAGTTCGTGAATGTTTTAAAGTTGTGAATAACTGTAAGTACGCTTTTCTCCATGCCATTCCGCCTGAGTGGAACCGTTGTATGATGGATTACTGTTATACTACTTTGAGGTCTACCTGCAGAAAGGTGAGGACTAAACTGGATTTCAAATTAAAGAAACTTATTCAACAAAGTGACTGGAATAAACACTCCAACCGGGATTTTGTTATAAACCTCTCGGATAGACAGCTTGATAATGACACGATTACTGCATTAGGATATGGCCTGAGCTTTGCCACATCTAACGGAACAGTCAATTATGTAGATATTGCCAAAGGGTTCAGCAATCTCGAAAAGTATAGCAATGTCTCAGTTGAAGATATTAATGTGTGCAAAGGTATGATGTATGGCGTTTTACTTAACAATTCTGTTCCTAATTGTCCAAGTCGATTTGTTCATGCGTTCAAAAATCTCAAAAAAGATAGTTCATTACATATTACCAAGGCTGATAAGTCAAATGCAGTAGTTATTATGAATAAAGATGACTATGTCCGAAAAATGGAGTTACTCTTGGAAGACAGGGATACTTATCTATTGGTTAACAGAGATCCTACTGAAAAAGTGATTGCACATTTTAACAAAACTCTTAAAACTGTGTGTAAAGGCGATAAAGAGTTGATATCTAGGCTAACAAGTCGATCCCCCTCTCTTCCTTACATGTATGGTCTTATAAAAACTCATAAGCCATATAATCCGGCAAGGCCGATTATTAGTTCAATTGGTTCGGCGGCTTATAAACTCTCTAAGTGGTTAGTCAAAGTTTTGTCCCCTATAGTTGGTACTATTTCCAACTCACACTTGACAAACAATGTGGACTTAGTTAATAAGCTATCCACACTGAATTTAAATTTTGATTTTAAACTTATAAGTTTCGATGTGACCTCTTTATTCACTAAAGTTCCTGTTGATGATCTGTTAGAATTTCTACGTGAGGAACTGCCTAAATATAATTTGAGCTTGCAGACCAATAAAGTATTGGAACTTATTAAATTGTGTATAAATGACAATTATTTTAGTTTTAATGGAAAATTTTTCAAACAAACATTTGGTATGGCGATGGGCAATCCCCTGTCCCCAGTTTTAAGCAATTTGTATATGGAATTCTTTGAAACAAAAATCTTATCCAGGATTATCCCGGCTAATGTAGTTTGGTTTAGGTATGTTGATGATATTTTGTGCTTATGGCCGTGCAACAAAGACCAGATAGTTTTTCTTAATGAACTCAATTCTTTGGTACCTTCAATAAAATTCACTTGTGAGACTGAGGAGAATGGTACTCTTCCGTTTTTGGACATTATGATTCATAGAGTCACTAGAAAGTTCAAATTTAATGTGTATAGGAAACCTACCAACGTGGGGTCGTATGTTCATTTTTATTCGAATCATCATAGTAAAGTTAAACAGGCAGTATTTTCAGGAATGTTTCTACGAGCTTTGAGGGTTTGCAGCCCTGAGTTTTTTGATGAAGAGATTGCTAAAATATATGAAATTGGGAAGAGTTTACAATATCCTAAGAGGTTTTTGGATTTCTCGTTTGTACAAGCCAAGCGTACGTTTTATAATCACGTCCCTAAGGCGAAACCAAAAATTATTAACTCATTGGTGGTACCTTATGTGAGTGGACTTGAAAAATTGTCTCTGATTTTTAAGAAACTTAATATAAATTTGGTGTTCACTAATAGTACAATCAAATCCAATTTAATAAAAAACTCCCCTGACACAGCAGGCTGTGTGTATTCGATTCCCTGCAATGATTGTGATTCTGTGTACCTTGGACAAACAGGAAAGTCCTTACAATTGCGGTTGTCACAACATGCTTATAGTATTAGAACTGCCCAAACGTCTAATGCATTGTATCTACATACGAGTTTATGCGATCACAATATTAACTGGAATGGGGCAAAAAGCATTACCAATTGTGGGGATTTCGTGGAACGGAATTTGATTGAGTCTGCTCTAATCAGTCAGTGTCCAAATCTTCTTAATGTTAGTACTGGTATGTACAAACTTGATCCATTTTTAAGTTATAATATTACACAACAGTTTAAGAAACAACTCTGATAGAGAGGCTTACAATGTCTCATTATAATTGTATATTCATATATTGTGTGTTCATGAGGCTTTTCTTTAATCTTTCATCCTTATTCTCTGACCGCTTAATCCTCTTTGACCATTCTAAGCTAAGCTTTACCTGTTTTTGGTTAATTCTTTCCCTAGGGATGGGTTGTTCAGGTGTCGGCCTATATATCCTCCCCCTTCTCCCTTCTCCTTAGTCAGTCTGGTGTTGACAAAGGCTTTAACAAGCCGAAACGTTCACCTCATTTCATATTTCTCTGTGGATTTTCCATATATATATATATATATATGCAATTGACGATCACAAAACACTGATCATTTTATGCGGAAAATCCACAGAGAAATATGAAATGAGGTGAACGGCTTTAACAAAGCCGAAACGTTCACCTCATTTCATATTTCTCTGTGGATTTTCCGCACATATATATATATATATATATATACATATCATTTACATATGTAAATATGTATATATATATATATATATATATATATATATAATATATATATATATATATATATATATATATATATATATATATATATATATATATATATATATATATATATATATCATGTCATCAGATGACCTCCTGGGGGCCATCAAAGCATCCACCACCAGAACTCTTCCCCACATTCCTAAAGCAGCGCGCCCATTTGCAGCAGGGAAATATACAGACGTTTTAAGGAAAGTAAATGAACGGTCTGCAAATCTTAATGCTGCAGCCACCATCAAACCATGGCATAATTTGCTCCTGTTTGGCAATATTTGCTTAGGCGTACCTGCAAGAGGAGGCAAGTCACTAGCCTCATCAGTCACTAGGGCAATAAATAATTTCCCCAGAGCTGACAACTTGATCCCCATCCCTCCTCAACGCTACCATTCTTCCAGGGGTTCACTGTGATCCCATCTGGGCGACCGACAGGCTCATCAGAGTTGCGGGACATTAGGTAACGGGGCTCTCTCTCTTTCTCTGCTGGACAACCGGCTGTAGTAAGGATTCTTTTAATAATGTCATTAACCTCGCCGTGTCTTGCATGCCATCCTCCTGTCCTTTGGCAGAGAAGGCCATGCCGTCCGTACCTGTCGGCCACTGCCTCACCACAAATACACCTGTATTTGGTGTGGATTGGGGCAGCGAGCCGGAGAGCCACAGCAATTCGGAGGGCCTGCGGTGTGAGACGGGTGCCGGTTGATATGATATATCTGAATATTTATTTAATATGATATGATACAAGACGCTAGAGCTTGCGCCCTCTTTGGATCCCGCAGGTCACTTAGGATGGACCATGACGCTAAGCCGGATGAGGGAGCATTTTTATTGGCTGGGAATGGACGCTGATGTGAGGAGACATTGCAAGGCCTGTTTCCCGTGCCAAAGGGCGGGGAAGAACGTCCTTGCTATACCAAAGGATGTGATAATAAAATGTTAATGGACTTAACCACATACTTTGAATGGACGATAATTAGCGAGTGAATTATTTAGACAAGACCCCAGAGCTGTTGAACTCTAGTCTCATTTTGGCCATATAAATATATTCCAAGATGCGAGGGTCTAAGTGGTTACAATAGAAAGCCACTCGTTGTGAATGTGAGTGTGGCTCCTAGCTGAAATATTAAATACAACCATTTATGGTGTTACAACGTGTAGTTGAAGAACACATGTCGCTGAAGAACACATGTCCCTAAAGGACTCATGTCGCTAAAGGAACCTTTTCACTAAAGCTCTCTTCAACATCTTCTTAAATTCCATGCTATAAAATCAGCAGTAAAGATGCCATCGCCTTCTTGTTCTATCGCAGAAACTCAGTAGCTTGGGCAGTGAATGTACAGTAGTGCACGTCTACAGGTATTACCCTGGAAGCTCCGACCAGCATGGATGTGGCCGCCCTGTCTTCTCTCCCATACGAAGGTGATCGGCTTCCCTGACCATCCACCGTGACCTCACAGATGACGACCCCGACCTTGTATGGTGTTGTGATCTGATAAGTCAATTATGTCCTCACTCCAGAGGTGGGCACTATGATGACCTGACCTTCCTGGGTACTCTTCTCACCAGTACGTATATATTTTGATGCATTTCCGGAACAACCAGAGTTCCTTGAAGCTCTTCTTTGGCCTCTAGTATCATTATTATTATTGTATTAGTATACTTTGTTGAGGTGCGTCTAGTATAATTCTGGGCACTGATTACCCAACATTGCCTTTGACTAAACAAGTTATTATGAGTCCTGATTAACCCAGATCAATTTTAGCACACTGGTTTGGATTAATGCAAGCTATAATGCTTATATACTTCAAATTAACCAGACGTGCTGCTCATCTCAGCAAAATATTAATTAATCCATATTGTATTTCTCTGATATAAGTTGCTATTTAGATGTGTGACATAGCCAGGTTTGGCCTTCACGTCTCCTGATGCTTGCAGGCGAGGGTATTGAGACACTGATTCGAGAACTTCACGAGAGGAACGTCAGCGCTGGCAACCCCTGGACCATGTTCTCAGCGCCACAGGGTCAACCCGGCACCACCCAGGCCCTGGCCGCCTCGCTACGCCTCTCCGGTCTCTATGTCTTCTAGGGTCTGCAGGACCAAGTCGCAAGATGATCAAACATTTGGTTCCTGTTAAAATATCTATGAGACAGAAGGCTCTTATATATAATCACAGACTTGTTAACATTTACCATTGTTGCTATCTGTTTAGTGCAGTTGTGCTTAGGTATTTCTGATGCTGTATATTGTGAAAAATGTATTGAATAATTAGTTATAAACTCAGCATTACTTCCCAAAATCAAGAACTGGCCAACGAAGTTAATCTTTTCCTACATGAAACTAAGCTCTCTTCAGTTCAAAGTTTAAAACCTGAATTACATTGAAACCACTAGAAAATAGGAGAGGGAAAAAAATAAGGGAAAAGCGCCAAGCCCTTACAACTACATAGCACTGGATTTGGGATGGGACGGGGGAGGGGGGAAGGAATGTTGCCCAACCTCTTGGACGGTCGGGGATTGAACGCCGACCTGCATGAAGCGAGACTGTCGCTCTACCGTCCAGCCCAAGTGGTTGGTTAAAAAAAATATGAAGGAGAGAATATTTGCCAGCTTTTAAAACCCACTTAATACCTTGCTATTGCAACAAACTTTCTCCCAAGATGAATCAGACCAATAAAAACTCCTAGCTGCTGTCATTATTTCCTCACGATATTTCCCCTTGAAACCAAATGAGCGGACCGTGTCAACTCGTGGTTAAGGAACTACGGGAGCAGCTGAATTACAAACTTCAAGCAAGCAGGTGAAAACAAAGCAGCACACAGAAGAGGTACCAAAGTATCTACTGAAAACATTAGGAAAATTCGTGTGAAATTACATAGTTGTTCGTGAAGATTATACCTTATCAGAGCTTCTGGGTCTGGAAAACCCACTGTTTTCGTGAAAAACTGATTCAACAGGAATAGGCAGAATCTTTCCTTTCAACTGCGTCAAGTTTGTAAGAATTCCAATATGTTAATCAACGATTTCTTTGTCAGAGGTGGTAAAATACCAGTGAGGAAGACCGACACTGGAAAAAACTATAAAATAGCCAATGCAGCCCATCCACTGTAGATAATGCAAGTACTTGCCTGTAAAGTTGCCGCCCATTTGGGTGGGTGTGGAGCAAGATTAGTAACTGGGTAACTGACTCCATAGATATAATGCCTTTTATACAGACTTGCCAGCCTCATCTTGAATCACATGATATAAATGGGCTATTGATATATGTATTTGTGTATGTGTATATATATGTGTGTGTGTAAGTGAATACATGTATGTATGTGTTTACTAGTTGTGTTTTTGCGGGGGTTGAGCTTTGCTCTTTCGGCCCGCCTCTCAACTGTTTACTAACTAACTACTTTTTTTTTTTTTCCCACACCACACACACACACCCCAGGAAGCAGCCCGTGACAGCTGACTAACTCCCAGGTACCTATTTACTGCTAGGTAACAGGGGCACTTAGGGTGAAAGAAACTTTGCCCATTTGTTTCTGCCTCCTGCGGGAATCGAACCCGCGCCACAGAATTACGAGTCCTGCGCGCTATCCACCAGGCTACGAGGCCCCTGTATGTATGTATGTATGTATGTATGTATGTATGTATGTATGTATGTATGTATGTATGTATGTATGTATGTATGTATGCATGTATGTATGTATGTATGTATGTATGTATGTATGTATGTATGTATGTATGTATGTATGTATGTATGTATGTATGTATGTATGCATGTATGTATGTATGTACATGTATAAAAGTATGTAATATTTAAAAATTGTGTAACTAGATTCAGAAGTGTTACTTGCTTAGCTGAATGAACAACGGAGTTCAGTTGGTGAACCCACCATCTGCCTCTGTAACCCCACTGTGGGTTATCAGCTGGACAACCAGTAGGTGATCGACCCATAACTTTGGAATACTTTCTAACTCAAGGCTTTCTTAATCTTAACTAGAAATATAGCCGTACCACAGCTATGCTTTTTGCCATTTAAGGGGCTCGTTGTACGAGGAGTATTTTTCCAAGTATGAAAAATAGTGAAAATTTTACACAGATCTCCCGTTATTTGGCATTAGCGTCGTGAAAATTTCATCCCAATATGTTAAGAAATGGATTTTTTATACGATTTTTTTTAATAAATGCGTCCGCGATTGGCAGTAACCGGTACTGATAATAACCATAACACCTCCTATTTACTAGCAATTAGGGATAAGGAGATACATGCACCTGTCTGACTCACAAACAAGACAAGTAGTAGAAAGGTCTACAAATTGTATATGCAGCTGGTGCCACCTGGAGGACCAGATGTCACACACAATAATGAGTTATTATGCTGTATTTTATTATATATTATATAAATACATTGCCCAATGGCAATATTTCTTATGTCCCTCTGTACGAAAAGATGACAACCACTTTTTTTCTCCTCTCCTGGGCAGAAGTTGTGACTTTTATTTCTTTTTGGCCGATTTATTTACAGATTTCAAACTCTATTCTCTTTGTGTAATTAGGTTGTATTGATGAATGAGGACCAGATGAGATCCTTATCACTTATATATGGGCAATAAAGTTACTGCAATATATATGTTTCCTTAAAGAACATAAGAATGAAGGTAACTGCAGAAGGCTTACTGGCCCATACGAGGCAGCTCCTATTTATATCCACCCAATCTCATTCATGTATATGTCTAACCTACTGTTAGACACTTAAGGGGCCCAGTGTCTGTTTTACAGTTATCACTAACGTATCCCTATATTTAGTTTTTTGGTGGGTTATTTTTTCTTGACATCATATCAACACATGTTGACCTACAACTTTCTTATATTCGAGTACGAGTGCCAAGAAATGTTTATTAAAACATACAAGAAAATTCATTAATTAGAACTACTCATATTCATTGTCAATATCTTCAACTTCAATTATCTCTAAAACAGGAATTTCAAATTTAAGACTTTACTAAAAAATTTAGTTTCTGACCGATTCTCACCATTTTTACCTACTATGTGCAGAGTTCTTAGTTCTAATGTTTCCTTGTCATCGTTTAGTCATAAAATCGTAACTTTTGGAATTATAAATATTTTGCGTATAAATTTGGCAGACATTTGGAAGGCCACATTCAAAAAATGTTTTAGAGTAAACTATACTCTTAAACAATAATTTTCGGCAAGGAACATGAACGTTATATGCCATTCTGGGACCATAATGAATAAAATATCAATTGGTCTCATTATAAGATATTAGTTACTAATTTGAAGTTGTGAAATTTGCTGTTTTTCATTTTTTTTCTTTCCATTGTATAATGTTGATCCATTAGGAAAAGTTGGAGCATTTACCATGAAGATGCACAACACAAACTGAGTGTGTTTGAGGACGTTTTGGTGCACGTGCACCCGGCCCCTTAGAGGTATTTAATTTTGTTAATTTCATTGTCTATTTAATATATTGTCAATTATTTATTTGTCTATTACATTTTTTATATTTATGTTTTTGTTCATGTTTTCTTTGTTCACTACTTTTATTGTCCATTACTTTTGTTGTCCATTACTTTTATTGTCCATCACTTTTGTTTATTACTTTTGTTGTCCATTACTTTTATTGTCCATTACATTTTTGTTCATTATTTTTTGTCCATTATCCTGCGGGATATTTATCATATAATTATTTTATTGTCCATTACTTTTGTTGTCCATTACTTTTATTGTCCATTACTTTTGTCTTTTGTTGTCCATTACATACGATATTTATCATATAAATATCCTAGGCAGGTCCTAGTCAACAACGGCTTCTTAAACGGATTTGTTAAAGACGTCATAAAAAGAAAGGTGAAACGCCATGCAACCTCTGAAGAGTCAACTAACACAACACATGTACCCAATATTAGACTATTTTACAGGAACTTTTCGACGGCTCATAAAACGGAGGAAAGGGTCCTGAAAGATATTGTTGATAGGAACGTTATCCCTACAGACAAAAATCAGAAAATACAAATGACAATTTACTATGAAACCAAAAAAACGGCCAATCTACTCATGAAAAACTCCCAGCAGAACGCCTTGAAGGAAGCCAACGTCGTCTATGCCTTTAAATGCCCACTTGGGGACTGCAAGCCCCAAAGAACTCAGTATATAGGCAAGACAACAACGTCTCTTTCCAGGCGACTAACAATGCATAAACAACAGGGCTCCATCAAGGAACATATAATCTCTTCTCACAACCAGACCATCACCAGAGAAATCTTAACAAACAACACAGAAATCATCGATAGGTACAGCGATAGCAGGCGGCTGTCGCAAAGTGCCTATATTTCCTCTGATACAGCTGTCATATTAGGATTACTCCCCTTATTGTGAGTGCCCTTTGACAGGTGTAATTGAAGGGGAAGAAGAAGAAGCAGAATTAACACAAGTTACCTAGTACACCAGTACATGTGTTGATGCTACAAGGACTTTTCATCCGTGTTCATACTTGTTGTCTAAGCCAAAATCAGCCATATAAGATAAGGCCTCCCCATTTAATTACTAATATGTGTAGTCTAATACTGTAGTGAATGTCTACAATCAATAATTTTGATTGTTAGACTATGAATATAAACCGTAAACCCTCCAGAATGTGAAAGGAAGCGATCTGTGGGACATTTAAATCATACAGTCCAATATAAACATCATACAGTTTACTACCGAAATGAATAAATTAACGTAAAAATAAATTCCTAAATAAATTACTATAAAGTTTAATGTAAATTAATAAATTGCTGTATAAATATCACAGGTCTGTTTCCCCGAATCAGGTGAGAGGACCTCTCCTGTTGCTGCGGGAGAGACTCATAGGGGGAACGTTTCTCTCACCGTGGGAGGACATTTGCTGTGCGAGATTCACTCCAAACTAAAAAGGTACCAGGACGTGGCGAGAGCACACCTGGAGAAAACCCAGCTCAATATGAAGCAGCACCATGATAAGAAGTTCCGGGCGAAGTGCAGATGTTTCAAGCCAGGTAACTTAGTCTTAGTTCTTAAAACACGAGTGGAAGCTGCTATGGAGCACCAGTGTGAAGGTCCGTTTGTAATAGTATCAAAACGTTCGGAGTTGACCTATAAAGTCGGAGTTTGAAGGACCACTCTCACATCTTGGTTGTGCACATTTATCAATTGAAAACTTTTCAGGGTTCCAGGCCGGTGGCATGTGTAGTACAGGATGCAATCACGCCTGTGAATTATGTAAATAATGAAGTGTCTAATCATATCTCTTGTCATTCTAGCTTTGTGGAGATGTTGGGCCACTTGAATGAAGAGAAACGGGGAGAGATGCAAACTCTGCTAGACGAGTATGGTTTTTATGTTTGGAGAGGTGCCTACCCAGACCCATGTCATTAGCCAAGATATTCAGCTCACAGACACCAGGCCTATTCGTATGCACCCCTACAGAGTGTCGCCAGAGAAGAGGGCTATTATGAGGAAAAAAGTGGAGTTCCTCCTAGAACATGGTCTCGTTAAATCTAGCCAAAGTTGCTGGTGCTCTCCCTGTTTGTTGGTTCCCAACCGGATGGGAAGTGGCGCCTGTGTATTGATTACAGGCGACTGAACATGGTAACTGAAGTAGAGGTTTTCCCCTTACCTTTACTTGAGGACTGTATCGACCAGTTAGGCCATTGCCAGTTTATTTCTAAGCTAGATCTGTCAAGGGTTATCACCAGGTGCCCTTGACAGACCGAGCGAGTGAAGTGTCAGCATTTTAACACCAGACGGTGTTTATCAATATAATGTAATGCCGTTTGGCTTGAAAAAACGAACCAGCAACTTTTCAAAGATGGATGAATTAACTTTTGCAGGACATTTCCAATTGCCGTGCATACCTAGACGACGTTGTCTTGTTTAGTGATTCCTGGCAGGAACATTTACAGGGGTTGAGAAGATTATTTACCACTTTCACAAATGCTAACCTTACTGTAAACCCACGAAAATGTAATTTCGCCAGGGGGAACAATTGTCTATCTGGGGCACGAGGTTGGGCAAGGTAGGGTAATGCCTTTACCGGACAAGATTAGTGATATTGTTAATTACCTTATCTTGACCAACAAAAAGCAGGCACAGTGCTTCTTGGGGATGAGTGGCTACGACCGAAGGTACTGCACAAACTTTTATGTTATAGCTTCACCTTTAACAGATTTTTTGCAGAAAAGGGTTAAATTTAAATGGCACCCAAGGCCAAGATGCCTTTGATAACTTAAAAAGTATCTTGTCCTCATCCCCAGTTCTCGCTAGCCCTCAGTTATATAAACCTTTCATGATGTACATAGATGCTTCCGACTTGCGTGCAGAAGCCGTCTTACTCCAAGTTGGACCTGATGGAGTAGAGCATCCCATGTATTATTTTTCAAAGAAGTTTAATAAGACGGAAATAAATTATTCTGTAGTAGAAAAAGAGGCGTATGGTCTTGTCTTAGCATGTAAGAAATTTGAGAATTACCTGCAGGGAAATAAAGTTCATATCTTTTTTTTTGGATCATAACCAATTGGTGTTTATTATAAGATGAAACTTAAAAATCAGAAAATCTTACGGTGGTCACTGTTTTTACAGGAATGTAATCTCCATGTCCAACATATTCCTGGAAAATTTAATGTTCTGCTGATGCCTTGTCCCAGTGTTTTCCTTCAGAAGTCCCCGAGAGTTAAGGGACCACCCCGAGATATCCTGACCTTGTATGTGCTTTTTGTTTATGTATTTGGGCAGTAAACAGTGCTAGACTAATATGAGTAGAGAAGTTACTATTATAGATGTGTTCCATCCTTATTGAACTTTATTGTTCAGGGTGTTGATATGCATTTTTTTGTGTCGTCGTTGTTCATTGTATGCCTCTACATATTTATATTTCTAGGAAAATTTTGGTGGTGGTCTATTATATTATGTACTACTATGCCTTCACCTGGTGTTTAATTCTTCTTCTTGATAGTAGGTGCAGTTTGCATGAAGGGTTTGTCCTCTCGATGACTGCACCAGTACAGGTGTTGGTAGACGCCTTTATGTTGAGGATGAGAAGAGTTTCAAAAGTGCTTGTTGCGTTGTGATGTAGACAGAGGAGCGGCGACTAAAACAGAGGTGTGTGTTAGAGGGAGACTTGCCGCACCGTAGGGCGGTGTGTTGTGTTTATGGCGTCAGCTGATCCTTGGTGTTGCGACGAGGCAGTTGTTTTCTGTGTTCAGCTGTTGATGGCGCCAGGTATAAATGTGGCGCGGGTCAGATGTGACCCAATTTGTTGGTCGACTGGAGATATTTAGCCAGTGCTTTGACTATTTGGTATTTTTCCTATAACGAGTGGTCACCTCCTCCTTATAAATGCTCGATGGCAAAGGGTATTTTCATGTCGCTATCCATGTCAGCTATTAGAATGTGTTCACCTACAATGTACATATTTCTTAGTGATGGAGGGATGTTATGATCCAGCATATACCAGTTATGCCTGGTATACATTGTGGTCATTCCTTAAGGTCAATGTACAGTCAATATATATTGATTTTGCTATATCTTGCATTATGTCCTCATATTCCTGGGTATGTTATTATGTTATACCTGTCATATTATACGATATTATGTAGACTATGTTATTAGTATATATTTATTTATATTGATAGGATGTTGAGTGAGTCGGGCCGGCCGGCGAGGCTACTGTATTACACCCCCCCCCCCCCCCCCACACACACACACCCATCTACAGCTCAGGGGATGGGTGTGGACCACACACCCATCCTCTGAACTTTAGTTGACCCCATGTCTATCCTGTGTGAGACAGAGGATCCCCATACCCATCCCATGAGTTGTAATGGATTCCATACCCATCCTGTGGATTTAATTATGGTCCCTATGCCCATCTGGTATCTGGAAATGGACACCATGCCGTTTCCGTTGAAGATAATGGACCTCATACTTATCCTGTGAGCGGTAGGAGAATCCAATGGTAGATTGCATGGAGTAAGATTGGATAAGACCTTAAGGATATTCTGATTTTTTTTTTTAGAATATGGGGAAGGTGTGTCACGGTAAATTATAATAAAATGTATAATGAACAATTATAATAAAAATTCAAATTAAAAAAATAATCACAGTGAGATGAAAGTGGAATATAAAAATGATGGCATAGGATAAGTAATAAACTAAACTAAATCCATCCTGTGGGTAGTGATGGATCCCATACACATCCTGTGGGCGGTAGTGGACCCCCATTCCCATCCTGAAGTGGGCTCCATACCCATCCTGTTGGCAGTAGTGAACCCCATACATATCCAGTAATAGTGGCGGTAGTGGACTCCATACACATCGTGTGATTAGCAGTGGACACCATATCTATCATGTTTGCAGTAGTGTACTCATAGTCATTCAAAGGTCACATCGTTTTCTATTTTCGTTCCAACACACCGAATGTTTGGCACAAGAATCATTATTATTTATTTATTTTATTTATATATACAAGAGTTCTTACATTCTTGTACAGCCACTAGCACGCGTAGCATTTCGGGCAGGTCCTTAATCCTATGTTCCCCGGAATACGACCCGCCAAATCGTTTAACAACCAGGTTCCCATTTTACTGTTGGGTAAACAGAGACTAAAGTCAAGGATTGACGCCCAGTAAATCTTCCCCGGCCAGGATACGAACCCAGGACAAAGCGCTCGTGAAACGCCAGGCGAGTGTCTTAACCACTACACCACAGGGACTGTGGTATAGTGGTGTATATGTAATAATTTATAGTGTTTATTATAATTTATTGAGAAGCAAAAACTTTCTTATTCGTGCTAACCTTTAACTGGTTGCACTCTATAATAGAGGTTTAAATCATGGGCTGACACATGAGTTGACAGTAAATGGAGACTTATTAAACAGTCATAATTATTTCCATGTTAGTAAAGAGAGCATTCAGCTGTAAACATCTATCATCATCGCTGACGAGTTCACTAAACTCTTAAATATTAAGCCGTAAAATCATAAAAAATATTTAAATAAGGAGCAATAAATTTTAACTATGTATACTATAGGTAAACAGACACTAAACTCAGCCACCCAAGAAATCAGATCAGCCAAAACAAACTGCGACAGCTAAACAAAGGTCCAAAATCGTTCTATACTCATATAAGAAGTAAAACCAAAATAAAGGACTCGTAGGACCCTTAAAAGATGAGACTAACCACGTTATAATGGACGATTAAAGGGCAGCAAACACTGATTGAATATTTTACAACAGTGTTCACACTAGAAAGGTTAGATGACATCCCATCACCCACACAGATGTTTAAAGGAGGCAAAGAGAGTGAAGTTAGGGATATCCCCATAGCATGCGATATAATCAGGAAAATCAACAATAAACTAAAAGACTCATAAGCCTCAGATGTGGATGGACTCTAATCCAGAGTTATAAAGGAACTGGCAGAGGAACTATGCCTACTGCTGAAATAACTTTTCACAAAATCTCTGGACCAAGGGATAGTCGTCCTTGATTGTAAATATGCAAATGTCACCCGCATTTTCAAAAAGGACAGAGAGAGCTCAGCATAAAATTACCGTCCAATCAGCTTGACAACAAACATCTGCAAGCTCATGGAGAGAATCATAAGGTAGGAAATAATTTACCATCTTTCACTGAACAATCTTGTAAAGTCGACACAACATGGGTTTGTCAAGAATAGATCCTGCCTTATAAACCTGCTCACGTTTTTGGAAACGGTCACCAGCTACTCAGACAACGGACTTCCGGTGGATGTAGAATACATGGATTTTGCTAAAGCCTTTGATAAGGTACCACGTGAAAGACTGGCAAGGAAATTACAGGCCCATGGAATAAATGGTAGACTAAGTATAAAAGTATAAGTATGGAATTGATAAAACGAAGGTTGAAACAAAGAAAACAATGGACCATATTATATGGGACTGAATCTGACTAGAGAAATGTGTTAAGTGCCAATTTTGCCCACAGGTGCCCATTTTGGGGCCAACCCTATTTGTCATTTACATAAATGAAATAGACGAGAATATTATAAAAAACACACATAAAATTTGCAGATTACACAAAGAAATATGGTAAAGTGGGAAATAATAATGATATTGGAGCCTTACAATGAGATGTACATGAACTCCACAAATGGTGAGAAGACTGACAAATGATTTTTAATATTGAGAGATGCAAGACCCAGCATGGGGCCATAGCATCCCACGCCACCACTATTAAATTAATATCATTACATTAGAGCAGATTCATTATGAGAAAAACTTTGGAGTCAAAATCCACCATTCACTGAAAGTTCCACAACAGTTAGGAACAACAGTCAAAACAGACAACCAAACCCTTGGAACAATCAAGTGTACATTTGACTTTGTGGGAAAGAAGGTAGTGATTCAATTGTATAAATCTCTGGTGTGCCCTCATTTGAATTATTGTATCCAAGCAAGAAGACCTCATCTTCAGAAGGATATAGCTGTTCTGCATAAAGTGCAACACCGGGCAACACAAATCATTCCAGAGCGAAGTCATTTCTCGCACCAAGAACGGTTGAAGGCCACAGGGCAGTTACACGAACATTACAGGAAGGCTACACTGCAGACAAGGCATGATAGACCAGATCTCATTGAAACTAATAAAATACTGAACAAATTGTAAGATGTTGATCTGGACAATTATGTTCGAAAGGTCAGATGTAACACAAACATGGAACAACGGTCTCAAGCACGACAAGCCACAATACAGAACTGAGAACAGGCGATGGTTTTTCACCCACCTGGGGATAGCTTCCCTAGATTGGAAATATTCAAAT